GTTCTGCATTTCCTCAGTCAGATTCTCTGTCCTGGTTAATGGTAGCCCGTGTGGTTTCTTTAGTAGCTCCAGGGGTCTCAGGCAAGGTGACCCCCTATCCCCCATGCTATTCATTCTAGTGATGGATGCTCTGAGCAAAATAATGGATCGTGCGTCGGGCGGAGGATTATTGAGAGGATTCTCAGCTCCGGTCGGGGTGCTCAGCCCCCGAAGAGTCTCTCATTTGTTTTTTGCCGATGACACCCTGGTTTTCTGTGATACCGATATGGATCAGTTGACCTACTTGAAGCAGGTCCTGCAGTGGTTTCAGATAGTATCAGGACTCAAAATCAACCTCGGCAAGTGTGAGATTTTCCGGGGAGGGGGGGGGGGTTGCTAACATTGATGCCTTGTCTTATGTTCAAAGATGTAAGGTGGGCTCTCTTCCCACTACTTACCTGTGTCTCTCATTGGGCGCTTCGCATAAGGATACTACGGTTTGGAATCCAGTGATCGAAAGGGTTGAAAAAAGATTAGCAGGCTGGCAGAAACGGTACTTGTCAAAAGGCGGTGAGGAAGTGCTTATTAAAAGCACTTTATTTAGTATGCCCACCTATTACTTGTCCTTGTTGCAAGCTCCTGTGAGCATCACAGATAAACTGGAGCGGCTTCAAAGGAATTTTCTTTGGGATGCGGCAGATGGAACTAGAAAGTTTCATCTTGTGAATTGGCAGACAGTCACTTCCCAAAGAAGTGGGGTGGACTTGGAGTAAAAGATCTTAGGGTATTCAACAGAGCTTTGTTGGGGAAGTGGCTGTGGAGATTCGGGATAGAAGAGCACGCTCTATGGAGGGAGGTCATAGTAGAAAGTATGATTCCACGGGAGGGGGTTGGAGGACCAAGGCAATCACAGCACCTTTTGGGTGTGGCATGTGGAGGAGCATCATGAAGAATTGGGAAGCCTTCAATGGTAATATCACTTACAGGGTGGGATATAGAAGGAGAATCAGCTTCTGGAATCATAGGTGGTGTGGAGAGGATACTCTGAGGGTCTCTTTCCCCACGTCTTCAGAGTTTCAAACCAGAAGGAATTGATTGTCCAACAGATTCGCGAGGAGCATGAAGGGGGTAGTACGAGACCTCTCATTTAGAAGGAACATGATTGGGAGATTGCGGAGCTCCAGGATTTGTTGGCACTGCTATATGGGCAAGACAGGCCCCAACCATCTTGTGATTCTTGGAGATGGGGGTTCCGTGGCGATGTTTTGTTCACCGTAAAGTCCTTTTACCAGAGTATGTTAGTGAGAGAGGAGGCCACTTTTCCATACTCCTCGATCTAGATTCCTAAGGCGCCCACGAAGGTGTTTTTTTTTGCATGGCTAGCGACGAGGGGAGTGATCTTGTGCTGAAAATCTCTGAAAGAGAGGAATTACACTTGTTAGTTGGTGCTACATGTGTAAAAGCTAAAGGGAAGAAGTTGATCATCTTTTGTTGCATTGCCCTGTGTTCTCGGGTTTGTGGAGGGCAATCCTGAATCTTTTTGGTGTTCAATGGTTTTGATGCCAAGCACTGTAAAGGAAATGTTATATAGCTGGGCCGGTTTCCGTAGAAGAAGAAAGCAAAATGCATGGAAGTTCGCACCGTTAGCTCTCATGTGGATAGTTTGGGGGGAGAGAAATAGGATAGCTTTAGAGGGGATTGAGTCTCCTTTTTCACATCTTAAGAATAGTCTTTATCTTTGATCACTTTTTGGTACACTTATATAGCCCCTGCTTGTATAGAAGATTGAACGTCTTCTGTAGAGAATTATGTTTTGATGTAAATTCTCTACTTTTTGGTATACTTCTTGTATACGGGAAATTTCTCCCTTTTGATTAATGCAATTTACCTTATCGAAAAAAAATGGTCTATATTTAGCCGTTATCCAGTAGCAAGTTGGCTTCTTGCGTCGTTCTTTTTCATCCTCTGCACATGTATTTCTTGCATTAGTAGTATGCACTTGACTCTTGTTTTAGTCATCATTAAAATTAAAAACCTAACAAACATGTGCTCCTTATATAGAAGTCTTAGGCTATATATTATATGATTGGTAATCAATCGCTATTCATATAGAATTTTATGTATATAAGGAAAATCATATAGAACATTTTATAGGATACCTTGGGATTAATAGCCATTGATTACCAATCATATAATTTATAGCCTAAAACTTCTATATGTGGGAAAATTCATATACTAATTAAGTAATTAATTGTTCTGCAAAGTATCCTAAGATATCTGTAGAATATTCTATATGATTTTGCTTATTCAAGTACAATGAACTTAGACATTTATGAACCTAGACACATAAATAGTTGATATTTAATATTTTCATGTTAAGAGTTTTTTTCATTCTTTTTTCTTTTCATGTTAAGAGTTCAAATGAGAGATTTTGGGAGCAGTTGGCAATCTATCATAAACATAAAACATGATTTCGTGATCTTAGTACTTAATGATTTGCAGAATAAATGTAATATGATTTTATCAAGAAATGTAACTTGATCCATGTCCAATTGTTGAGTAGATGTTGAATATTGATGGCTTTCTGTTCTTCATAAGCTGGAAAAAAAAATGTGTTTTCATCCCTTTGCCCATTTTCTTTCACGTAATGTTATAAGTGCGAAAAACAAAGAATAATAATGCCACTTATGTGGCATTGATACCTAAAAAGAGTGGTGCCAAGGAGTTGAGGGATTTTAGGCCAATTAGTCTCATAGGTAGCATTTATAAACCGAACTCCAAATTACTCACTGAAAGATTGGAAAGTGTGGTGCACAAATTGGTAGATTCACAGCAAATGGCATTTATAAAAGGAAGACAAATCACAGATGCAATTTTGATTGCGAATGAGTGTGTAGATTCTAGAATCAAGGAGAAAGGCCAGGAATTATGTGCAAGTTAGACATTGAAAAGGCATATGACCATGTTAATTGGGAATTTTTGCTTGGTATTCTCCAAAAGATGCGTTTTGCTTGGTGCAATTGGTACTATTCCAACCACTTATTTGGGGATGCCTTTGGGTGCAAAGAGCAAATCCAAAGATATCTGGAGTGGAGTCTTGGAAAGATGTGAGAATATTAGCAAGATGGAAATCAAATTACATCTCTATGGGTTATGGGTGGTAGATTGGTTCTCATCAACTTTGTGCTAGATGTTCTCCTACATATATGTTGTCCTTATTTCTTATACCTGCAAATGTAGAGAAAAGGCTGGACACCTTGAGAAGAAATTTCCTTTGGCATGGAAATAAAGCGAAGGGTTTTCATTTAGTCAAATGGTAAACTCTGACCTTCAACAAATAACAGGGAGGTCTAGGGGTTAGGAACTTGAGAATGCAGAACAAAAGTCTCCTGATGAAGTGACTTTGGAGGTTTACCAGGGAGGAACAAGCTTTGTAGGGTATGGAAAGGAAGGATTTTGGATGACTAAACAGATGAACAATTCTTATGGCACCAGCTTGTGGAGAACTATAAGGAACCTGTGGCCAAATTTTGCTAACATGCTGAAATTCATTGTAAGGGATGGTAGGAAAATTCTTTTTTGGGAGGACAACTAGTTGGGAATTGGTTGTCTCAAGAATCTTTTTCCAGGCATTTATAACTTGAATCAACAACATAGAGCTACACTAAATGAACTTTGGGGTGCATACGGATGGAACCTCACATTGAGAAGATCTTTATATGATTAGGAGTTGCCTAGAATAACAAATTTCTTTAACACTCTGGAGCTATGCAAAGGACTGCAGGAGGGCGAGGATACACTTAGCTGGAGTCAAAATAACAAGACAAGACAAGTCAAAATAACAGTGGGAAGTACATAGTCAGTTCAACCTATAAGCACCTAAACCAGGGTGGAGGACAAGACAATTTATAGCCTTGGAAGCACATTTGGAGGGTTAAGATGCCATATAAAGTGGCATGTTTTTCTTAGTTGGTAGTTAGAGAAGCCCCTTTAACACATGACAATTTGAGGAAGAGGGGATACCAATTTGCTTAAGATGCTATTTATGTGGTCAAGAGGTAGAGATAATCAACCATCTGTTTCTACATTGTAGGGTGAGGATTTATTCATCAACCTCAGGGGTATTAGGTGGACAATGCTAGGAAGAATATATGAACTTTTGTCATGCTGGAATGTAGGGGGGAAGTGCACTACTTCAAACAAAGACAGATGGAAAATTGTCCCTGCAACTATTTGGTGGACAATTTGGAAGGAGAGAAATTCAAGATGCTTTGAGGATACAATTAGCTCTACTCAGAAAATTAAGATGAATTGCATTCTTCTATTTTGTTTTTGGTGTAAAGTAGAATTTGTTGCTGTAGTGGATAGTTACTTGCTAAAAACTATTTTTCCAAAAATGACAAGTGGCATTTGAGTTTTGATATTCAATTAAACAAATAAAATAATGGGGCAAACTAGGATAAGTGCAGTGGTACAATAACTAATGGATCACACCTAACATCTGGGTGGACCATGGTTTCTTGGCCTGCTAAATCTATTAATGCAGATTCTGCTGCAGGTTTTGACACCAAAGCGAGTGCTTATGTCAGTTAGATAAGTATAGGTTCGTGCAGCTAGCCTTCTTTGTTCATTATGTTTGGTGCTAGCGTGATGTCACTTCTCTATATCTCATTTCGTTGCTGTTAATTGTCTCAGTTTTGAATTCTTTATTGTTTCCTTGTTAGCACATTCTTGGGCATGCATTTTAATATCTTGGAAACTTTGGAACACTGACACTGTTAGGTAAAGCTAGGAGAAAAACATGGAAGCACTCCACGAAATTCAGTGACAGCATATCATCAAAAATAAAACATTGATTTTTGTGGAATTACACTGAGTTTGTTGTTGTTGTATATCACTAATATTATTAATCAAATAGTTTCTCTCAGTTAATGCATCCAGCTTTTAGATCTTTCTCTGGTTTGGACCATACTAGGTCTTTATCATCCTAGTTCATTAACGACTGAATAAATTATGTACAGACCTGCTTTTTGATGGTATTCGGGCATTCGCAAAGGGATCACCAAATATGAACTCTCTTGTTGGCTTTGGATCGATTGCTGCTTTTGCAATTAGTTCTGTAAGAATCAATTAAAGCCGGGCATTTTATCTTGTTAGGAGCTCTTAATTTACGATTTCAACGCCTGTCTTCATAATTTTTTGCGGAATTACTTTCTTGAGTTAAGACTGGTGGTGCTGACAAGTTCTTCTCTTTCTTAGGTCTCACTACTTAACCCTGCGCTTCAATGGGAAGCAACATTCTTTGATGAGCCGGTTTGTCTTTTCTCACTATCCTTTGTATTTCTCTGAAAGCTTAGATTCCTTCCATTTTTTCTTTCTGTGTAGTTTTCATTTGCTTGCTCATATGTACTCCTGCTTTCTGCTGTTTAAGACGGTCAGCAGATTGTAATCTTTAACAGCAAGTTTCTCTCTCTTTATTATTTGTTTCTGTATTCTAAATTTGGCTTTTAGCTGAGAGGGTCTACATTCCACAAAGTTCAAAATAATAGGTCGTTGCTTTGGTGCCACAGATTATTGAGCCTTATTGGGCTCAGGGGTCTTTTCTAGCATTTCAGAACCTCAAATTTCAACATAATGCCATCTGAAGTCCTAACAAAATTTGGGTAATGTCATCAGGACTTCACATGGTCTTCTATTCCGAATCTTTAATCGTATTTGTCTTGACCGATCTGATGTTATTTTGAAATGTATAGCTAATCGGTGGGTCAATTTTCCTCCTGCAATGGCTTACTGCTGGACTTCCATAAACCTTTAATAGTTCTCCATTTAGCATTCATTAACTTTCATTATGTAGTTTTCATTTGTAGCTATTTTCCAATTCATTAAGAAACTGTCTCTGCTCTGTGATACTTTCTATACGTGCTTCTATGATGGTCTCGATTGAGCAAAATCTGTTCAGTATTATTAAACTGTTTGACTTTTTTAGCAATGAATTCACTCATTGAGAAATGTTGATTTTAGTATGCAGGTCATGCTTCTTGGGTTTGTACTACTAGGACGTTCTTTGGAGGAAAGGGCAAGGCTGAAAGCATCTAGTGACATGAATGAGCTATTAGTAAGTTGTTTCGATGTTATGTGATTTAATAGAGTTATTTTCATTTGTCGGGTGCTCAAGAAGTGGACCAGAAAATCGCAAGCAAAATATGGGCTATAAGGCTGTTCAGTATTTGATGCTCTCCAAAAGTTGAAAAATCTATTAACTACTAGAGTCTAGATGTTTTACATGTTGAAGTTTTCTGATACAGTAGCGTCAATGAATTTGTTGTAACCATTCGTGAGACTTCTAAGCTAAACCACCTAATTAATCTTGTTATTCAACAATACATTATCCCTGATAACATGAAATCTAAGTATTAAATGTTTTGTTTTTCCATTAGTCCTCAAGACTTTGAATTATGTGCATATACTATTTAATACATTTGAGATAAGAAATGAAACATGCCCGTTATCAATTTTTCTCTTATTTTATTGATGCATTTAAGAGTTCCTTTTTCCAGAAAGCTGCTATTAGTTACTAGCAGTGCTACTTTTGAAGCATGTATATTACGGAAGATCCAGCTATAAGAGTTGCATAAAAGCTCTGATCTGTTATTTCTGGTGGCAGCGAGATTATTAGTTCTGAACTGCAATCTTGCTGCCTTTGTTTTCTGTTCATTCATTTATCAAGACACATCTATGGAGGAATTGCCATATGTTTAGTGGTGTGAAAATAATGCTACCTAATAGCTGCACTTAGCAAAGAATAATATTAGGTTACTTTCTGGCTACTTTTTTCTTACTTCGTTGAACACATCAAATAAAGGATACACATGGCTACTTTCTATTTTTTTTCTAATGAACTAAACTGCATTTACTATTAAGACAAGATCCCCCAGAGCTTGGATTGAAGTACATTTACTCCTTTATCTTACAAAATATTTTTGTGGTTCTCTTGGCAGTCGCTTATATCCACTCAGTCTAGACTTGTGGTTACTTCTTCCGGCAGTGGTTCCTCAGCTGATGTTGTCGGCTCTGATGCAATATGTATTGAAGTTCCAACTGATGATATTCGAGTTGGTGATTCTTTGCTCGTTTTGCCTGGAGAAACTATTCCCGTAGATGTAAGTCAAATTTTGCTCGAGTACTTTCTTTTCAGGAATTTAGCTCGAGGACAAAGGTCTGACGATCTTCAGTAAAGCAGAATAGAATCCATGTACTAATTTCCTCGGATTTCATTGCTCCAAGCATTTAGGATGCTAATGCTAAACTATCAGCTTCTAAAAACACAATATGGAACCATTAGACAAGGAAAAAATTATTACCTCAGTCAATGTTGCGGGGACTCTCCAAAATGCTGTCACACCCGTGTCGGATCCTCCAAAAGTGCGCTACCTTTGTAAGATCCGACACGCATCCGGCGACATTTTTGGAGAGTCTGAGCAACATAGACCTCAGTACATCTTAATGGTGGTTTCTAGTACATTTTTTCTTTTGCACTTTCAGCAGATTTATGGCAATTTTAGGTGCTGATCTCAAGAAACAAATGGAATATTTCTTTGTTTTTCCTTGGATTGAATAGGTAATTTTGGACAAATGAGAATTTTGTCCTGTTTGAGCTAGCAACAATTAGTTAATAGTTTAAAACATTTGTGGTACCTTTTTCAGTCTTTAAAAGGAAGAAACTCATCCTCTTTTGCTTGAAATGTTGAAAATACAAATATCTGTCCAAGGATGTATAGTTCTGTTAAAAATACTTGTTTCTCCTGTTATTTGGTAACATGCAACATCTTACATTCTTAAAAAATAAATCAAATTGCCTCTGCAGGGAAGAGTCGTTGCAGGTCGAAGTGTTGTGGATGAATCTATGCTTACTGGAGAGTCTCTTCCAGTGTTTAAAGAGAAGGGCTTTTCTGTCTCAGCTGGTACAATAAACTGGGTATGGTGATGTCAAGATTCAATAATCAATTAAATATGATAATCCCAAACTAATAGGGTTAAGCTATATGAATTCTCTACATCCATTATGCTCTCTTCAGACATGATGCAAAGATATTACGTGTATAGATATACTAAATGGTTTTTGCAGCTTTTCTGGAGTGAACTACATTTCTGTCCCTTTGTGTCACCTATAAAGAAATGAGGTTTGAATGGCCTTTTAGAACGAATATTCATTCTTATTGTTAAAAAAAATGCAGGACGGGCTATATATTAATTATAATACCCATTCTAATCCTGGTGAGACATTAGTAATCAGTTGCATCCTCTGGAAGCTACATATAATGGAATTTACTTTACCTGATCAAAAAAATCCTGGTGAGACATTACTTATCAAAAAAAATATAATCCTGGTTAGACATTAGGTTCAAATGTTGACTTGATCCCCACATACTGATAACTTTAGTTGGTGAATACCTTATGACAGTAGTACTGGAATATTTATAAGCAACAATAATTGGAATTACATTTATTTTTGTACTTTTATATTCAAGTCTTTGTTCTTATGTTTCAGGACAGTCCTTTAAGGATTGAGGCCTCTTCCACTGGTTCCAACTCAACAATTTCCAAGATTGTTAACATGGTCAGCACACTGTTTCTTAGTGATGTTTTCTCTTCCAAGTAATAGATTGCTGCCTGGAACATTTTCTAGCACTTAGATATAGTGCCTTGAGGAGGGAAAACAGATATCTTAGAATGTTTCTTTATTGGGCTATTAAAACTACTGTTTTCTTGAGAGTGCAAAATTGATGTAATGCATAGAACTTGAGAGTGCAAAATTGATCACAATATCTGGAAATTTATTAGAAATGATGTATAAGCTAAATTCCGGTGGGTTTTCATTGAGTTTAGTGGTGGAAAACCTGTAGACTGTGAACTTCCTTGTTTGGTCAAGTAAATATTATCCTTTGACCACTTGAATCTCACTGGAAATTTTTTGAAAATTGAAATCCTGGCGGAAAAGTTTTGTTCAAAAGAATGGTCATTGAAAGAAGTGGCGACTTCACTAGAACAATCACCAAAAAGTGGTCTTGTCAAAATGGTTACCAAAAAGGTGCGGTACCACTGGAACAGTGACCAGAAAAAGAAAAAGGTACAGTGCCGTTAGAATGGTCATTGAAAAAGTAGTGTTGTCTCTAGAGATCACCGGAAAGTGGCAGTGTAACAGTTCCCAGAAAGAGGCGCAGGCTGCCATAATGAACAACTCAAATTAGCACGGTGCTCAGGTACAGTTACCGAAAATAAGATTGGTATCGCTAGGACAGTCACCTTGAAAATGGACGACTAGTAATTCGAAGAAGATTGAAAACTTGGGCTAGACAAACAGTATAAGGCAGTGCTGGTAGGCAGAAGTTATGAGATCTCCACCCAGATCATAGAGGTCTTGAACCATGTTAGAAAATAATATAGAGAAGAAATAAATTTATAACCTGATGAGATGGAATAGTAGACACCTATTTATAATTGTGGTACAATTCAAATTTTATATTTAATTGATAAGGACCGACTTAGTAATGGCACTTGACACTATAATATTCTAATAAAGTATCTCTTCTAACATCCTCCAAAAGTGCCAAAGTGGAATAATTTTTAACATGGGGAATATGGTCTATTACTTTTGACTCTCTCTTAGCAATTAAAGGGGAATTTGGGACTTCTAGTGGAGATTGTGATAACTGTTTGTGGAGTTATCTGACTCCCTTTTTGATGTTTGACATGTATTTTTTGTTGTTTGCAGCCTTTATTTCCTGAATAGAAAATATTATTTTCTCTATTTAGAAATTTCTACTTTTGAATAACTCTTTCTAATATGAGGGGGTGGACAAAAGTGTATTTGTACCCTTTTTTCACACAATGTGGCTACTGATCTTAAACTAGAATTAGCGGATATGTGTAGGGACACCGCCCTCTAATATTAATATGTGAAAGTTTAGGAACTTATGAACTTCTGCATAAATTTTCTAATCTTCCAGGTTGAGGATGCTCAAGGCCGTGAAGCACCAATTCAGCGACTAGCAGATACAATTGCTGGGCCATTTGTTTACAGTGTGATGACATTATCAGCTGCAACATTTGGGTTCTGGTAACATGATTATTCTTTCCTTATGTATCACAAATATATTTAAGAAACAATTGACTGTTCCTTTAGGTTATTAGGTATAGATAGACAAAGGATAGGCACACATGAACAAACTGGAAGAAGAGTTCTAACTGGAAGATCTGAACAACTACTTTTTAGCCTCTAAAATGAGCGGAATAATGGTTTAGCAGTGAATTCTCATTGAGATGATGTTAATGGAGTGTGGTGACTCATCGGTCAAAGTTTGCATGTTAATTTATTTGCCTAGATCTATTTCTTGAAGCCATATTTCCCTCCTCGCCATTCACAAGCTGCTATATTGTAAATCTATGTTCATCCATTCCTATGAGTTATAATTGCGTATAATTGCATGCATTTTCTAATACAAGGTGCACTTGGAGCACTGTCAAAAGTAATATAGCCTTATCATGTCACTTGGCATTGTACACGGCACTGATTCACTTCAATCCACCTCCCAGAATTGAGTCAAATCTGGATCAAGTTCAATCAGGTTATATCCAGATATCTAGTTCACTCGACTATTCTGAAGAGGTCACTGTTTCCATAATATACAGATTATAACATTCTAAACATTAATATAGTTGTCCTTTTTCCTTAGCACAGTTATTCTCTGGGATATCCAATTTTGTATTTGAAGACAAGGGAGGGAGAGTCTAGCAGTAAGGGCCTCCACCTCAACGATGAGGTTGGGAGGTCGACTCACTGGGGGAGCAAAGTAGGAAAACCACTGTTGTGCTCCTAGGTAGGATGGGTTTGAGGATGGTACTTACAATATCTGAAAAAAGAAAAACATCTGTGTTTGAAATAGTACACTAGTGAGTAAACTGCTACTTTGGGCAGTGGAGTTGTTGATCTTCCTTTATTTTCTGCAAGTAACATATTATTTCCTTGAGACTAAGTGTTACAGAATTTACAGGGATTTCCTTGGAAATCCAGCACTCATGTTCCCTCAAAAGCAGTTTGAGAAAACCCAAGGCTCAAGCGAATTCTTAATTACAATGAAGTATTGGCAGAGCTCTACAGCTTGAAGCTCTAGATAAGTACAATGTTCATGGACTTGGCATTCAACGGTCTGGTTCCTGTTTTCCAAAATACATTCATTCTGTCCTTCTGGTAAATAGGCGGTGTCTAGAGCAATCTTCATCAACCATTTCCTCCAGTTCTTTTTTATATGCAACAAGATCCACAGAATCGCAAGACCTTTAGGGCATCATCTGATTAGGAGCAACTCTAAGCAGCAGCCATTACGAGCATTGGTATAAGCACTCAAAATATAGATGATCGATGATTCTGCAGCAATTTGGCTGCTGCAGCAATGAATCCTTGATACTCTTATTCGGTTACTTTAGGTCTCTCTAACAATGATAGCTTGGTCTGTTACTGCATATATTTCATGTTAATGAGTAATCGTATTTACTGCTAATTAGCTTGGTCTGTTACTTATAATTTTCTGTTGTTTTGTATTTACTGCTCATTATATAGGTATTATGTTGGATCGCACATCTTCCCAGATGTTTTACTGAATGATATTGCCGGACCAGAAGGAGATCCTTTGCTTCTGAGCCTGAAACTTGCTGTAGATGTATTGGTGCGTCATAGTGAACTGATGATCCATCTTTTATATCGATGCCTTCCTATCTAATCTGAATTACCTCTCCATTTTCCTGCAATCTTTTGCCTAGAAAAACATTTAGTCATTCTCTATTCTGTCAGATCTTGTTAGAGGCTGCTAATTTATCAGAACTTATAAATGTCAAACTATAACTTTTGGGGTTAGGGAAAGCCACTAAAGTTGAGTGCGACATACCTCTGAGTTGTTACATTTTTGCTTGTCCAAATCTTTGTGCTTTGTCTGCTGTCTACTCTGTGCTTCTCCATTTGCTCTTATGATATTACTGGTAATGGAAGGTTTGGCCTATTATTTTAGGGAGAAGGAACTTGTAGGAGTAGTTCACTTTTAGCGGAAGCTATGGGATGATCCAAGTAGAAATCAAGTTGTAAAGTTTAAAACAGAGGACATCTGTAGTATATTGGATTACTGCAGAAGAGCAGTTTTTTCACGTTGTTGCTTCATTAATACCCTGGTATCATACTATCATTATTGGTAAAAGCACAACATAGCTTGGCTGCACGCAGAAGTTTGTGCTATTTGTGTATTGAGTAAATAATCTGTAGTGATTGTGATACCACTCGTCCAAGCTTACAGTGGTCAGCTAGTCTGTTCCTAATTCTAATGCCCTGGCTTGTTCTGGGACTTGAAAATTCGAGCATATGTTCCTCCACTTATAGATGTCCTAAAATGGCATGTTGGTTATTTTGGATTGACAATATTGTCTTCTTTTTGACAGGTAGTTTCCTGCCCTTGCGCTTTAGGCCTTGCCACACCAACTGCTATTCTAGTTGGCACATCCCTAGGTACATAATCAGATTTAAATGCTTTTGCTGTAATTCTTGGTATTTCCTCCATTCTCCCTCATACGCAGCAATTCAAGACATACCTGTTACATTCCTTATCCTCTTTTGGACATTGCCCTTTCCTCACGACACCACTCTTCTTTTGATGCATCTTTTGCTTTATAAACTAAAATGCTAGACTGAGATTTAGATGTATGAATCAACAAGAAAAGTGGGCTCTTCGGGTATCAGAGATACCAATACTACTAGCAATGCTATAAACTTTTCTGGCTGTCATCCGCTCATCCTAGACATATATATGTAACAGTTGAAAACGAGAATATTTTTAGAATAATTTTGAAGCTACGAGTCTACCTTGAGAATGTTATGCTAGGAGGACTATTGATGCTTAGGATCATCTTTGAAATAGTACATCTTTGAACACTGAGCAATGTTGGGTCTAAAGAGCAGGTTAGTTAAGTCAAAATACTGACTGCGGAATTGCAGTTCCCCAATGAGGAGAGAGCGTAGCTAGTGTATCCCTTAATAGCTGCATTTCGCTGTTGCAAAGGTGGTGGTATTGGGTCAGTGCTCTGAAAGGTGCACCCAAGGCTCTCTGTAAACGCAAACAGCCGTAGTGGTGCATTCCCAGCCTCACCTAACAGGCACTAGTGCTTTGTGCCTTAGTTTATCCCTGAAATATCATCAATTATGCCTCAAAATCAATTCCATGTTGATTTTCAGAGATGAATAGGAGCGATTGACATTTGTGATTAGAAATTTTAATGCTGTTGCATGTGAGAAATCCTACAACATGCAAGGGCTGTTACTTTTCATGATACTATTGTTATCATGTGATGAAATCCCCTTCAGAAGTGTCAAATCCCATATTGGTTGATGGGTTGTGGTCTCCTTATATAGTCTTGGGCAATCCTCCCTTCATGAGCTAACTTTTGGGGTTGAGATAAGTCCAAGGTCCATTTCTTCACGCGGTATCACATGGTATCAGAGCCAGACCCATCGGCCTCTATTGTGTCGTGTTTTTCAATGTTGGGGCCCCATGTTATGTTTTATACGCTCCAGTTGTCTAGTCCTGGCGTCTGGGCGTGTGGAGTGTCAAGTCCTAAAATTAGTTGAAGGAATGGGTTGTGGTCTCCCTATATGTTGTTGGTCAATCCTACCCTCATGAGCTAGCTTTTAGGATTCAATTAGATTCAAAGTTCATTTCTTCAAAAAACGAAACTAAAAGAGAAGAGAATGTTAAACCTTCACCTTCCAAGATCGGTTTGGACTTGAATACTTCAAATTTAAGATGCCAAGAGACTCACCATGTGGTACACAAATGCATTACGAGTACTGGGTGGGTTATATAGAGATTAGAGAGTTTGCTTGGATAACATGGAGATATTTGCAGAGCCTCCATGGCCAAAGTTTTTATGAGACCTCTGTGACACTTCTCATTTGGGGCATTAGGTTTATCTAGTATGGTTATGGCTTCTTGCATAACTTTTACACCTTTAACTGCTTAGTCACTAAAAAGGAGTAAGGAGCAAAAGATAAAATAATACAAGATGAAGAAGAAGATAAAAGGATTAGTGGCAAGACATTAGATTTAGTTTTTAATGTAATGGCAAGTTCGGTCGCTCATTTGGCAAGAGCACTCCACTTCCAATCAAGACATTGGAAGTTCAAATTATTGAGTGAGCAAAGTGAAAAAGGGCCATTGTTGACTCATGGGCAAGAGGCTTGGGGGAAATACATTAAAAACAGAAATATCGTGGGGCTTATGTTTAAGGTCCTTGGCATGAGTAAAGTTGGCAGAGTTGAGGAGTCTCCTTCAGTGAGGACATTATCCTCTTGTTCAAAACCTGTTCATGCAGACATTAAGCTTACATGTGCGATTCGTCAAACGGTAGTCTGTTTTGGGTCCGGAAAGACTGGCACAACCAACATTCAGAAAACCACTTCTTGGATTATATACTCGCCTTTTTTGTTTTCCCCTAGTTTAATGGGCTTTTTTTTTTTTTGTCATGATGTAACCTAATAGATTGTCAAATTACTGAACTTGTATTTTTCTGTTGAAACCAAACAGGAGCAAGACAGGGGCTTCTTATTAGAGGAGGAGATGTACTGGAGCGTTTGGCAAGCGTGGATCATGTCATGCTGGACAAGGTGTTCAATAGTTCTTCAATTGAGTAATTTGTTGCAATTTTTACTTCCACAGCTAAAATCAAAAGAACTGTAGTAATTTATTTGTAATAAAAACATGATCTCTGCCTGTAATTCTCAGACAGGAACTCTGACTGAAGGAAAACCTGCTGTCTCTGCTGTAGCGTCCTTGGGTCATGAGGAAATAGAGATTCTTCAAATTGCTGCTGCAGTGGAGAAAACAGCATCTCACCCCATTGCTCATGCTATTATAAGCAAAGCAGAATCGTTGGATTTGAGTATCCCTGTCACACGTGGACAATTAGCTGAACCTGGCTCTGGAACCATGGCAGAAGTAAATGGGCTCTTGGTTGCAATTGGAAAGCTGAAATGGGTTCAAGAACGTTTCCAGCAAAAAGCAGACCTTTCTGATTTGAGGAGTCTTGAGCAATCTGTGATGCATAAATCATTAAAGGACAGGCAATCATCTAGCCATTCAACCACAGTTGTATACGTTGGTCGGGAGGGAGAGGGTGTGATTGGGGCTATTGCGATCTCTGATAAATTACGTGAGGATGCTGAGTCTACCATAAGAAGGTACTCTCCGACGAAGATGATTTCAAATGTAAATTTTAGATGCATCTTAGAAACTACAATCATCATTAGTCCCCCATGACCCCACACTATTTTCTCCTTGCTACATATGTGTTACCATTGCTTCTTTAATGTGTGGTTGGTCATTAGCTTCGTCTTAATTCTATTCTTTTGAAGAAGTTACCATAAAGTGGGAATTTGGGTTTATCATCCAGTTTTCACTTTTCAGCCTTTTGAAGAAGTTATATGTACCTTTTGATTGACTTGCCTCTCGCATTTCCGCAGACTCTTGTCTTCTATGTACATTTTTTATATTGAAACTCAGGTCTTAAAGATTTTAGAGATGTTTCCATGAGATTGCATTTTCAATGGATTCAGTATGTAGAGCGTCATACCAAATCTGTTCCACCACCTCCTGATTGCGCATCCCTTGTTCTTTTCTTCTAACTTCCTCTAGTAAAACATCGTAACTTTATTCTTCTTTAGTTTTCTCATATCCTTCTCATTTTTTCATATTCTTACCAATTGAAGGCTTCAGGGCAAGGGAATTCAAACAATACTGTTATCGGGAGACAGGGAAGAGGCAGTTGCAACTGTAGCAAAGACGGTTGGCATAAAAGACAAATTTGTCAATGCATCTTTGACACCCCAGCAGAAATCTGCTGCCATCTCAGTTCTTCAAGCTTCAGGCCACCGTGTTGCCATGGTAAATGCATTTCTCTGGTGAAACCTGATATTTCTACTTGTCCCTCAAACATATATAAGTTATTTTGTCCATGATAGCATGTGCAATTGGCTGCTACCTTTCTCCCAAAGAAACTCTGCTTATAATGCACAAAAATTGACTTCTATAATTACACGACTCTTTTAAGGAAACTACTTCATGGCACACATCATCCAGTAATTGGGCTGTCCTATTTGCCCCTCTAGCAAGTGTTGTCATAGTTCTTTTATTTCTTTGGGCTCTTCATTTCTCTATTCATCTCTCAACGAGTATTAGTTTTTTTTACTGTATGAGCATATGATTTGCTAAATCTCAGATACTATGCACAGCTATCTAACTGGAAATTCTTGCATACTGAAGGTCGGTGACGGCATTAATGATGCACCTTCTCTTGCTCTTGCTGATGTGGGGATTGCTTTGCAAGTTGAAGGACAGGAAACTGCTGCTTCAAATGCAGCATCTATTATACTCCTCGGGAATAGACTTTCACAGGTACATGTTCCATGTAGCACATTCATACAAAAAAAGATTTGTTCCTGTCATCACAGTGAGTTTTTTTTTTTCAAAAAAAAAAAAAGGTTTAATCATGTCTTCACATATTAGCGTTGACCACATAAATTGTGTTACTGTTACCAAGTCAGTTTTTATTAAGTTTGTAAGGTGTACTTTGTCATATAAGAAGATACAACTATTTAATCACTATCCTCTTATATCTTGTTTCTGGTTTTCTTTTCACTGAATAGTCATGAGAATATGGATTCAGAATTTCCCTTATCAAGGGAAAAATAGATGGGTTAAAAACTTTTTGTTTGTAGAAGTTCTGAATATCATAGCACAAAGAATTACATAGAGAGCGCTTATTTCACACTATAAATCTGAGAATTGTGGTAAAGAAGCTATGGTTAGGTTCAGGGAGGCGAAAGCAGACTGTATCTCCCACTATGTGCATATCAGCATTTTCTACAACAACAACAACAACCACCCAGTATAATCCCACAAGTGGGGCCTGGGGAGGGTAGGATGTACTATTGTATGAAAAATAACAATGTGCCTCCTGCTAACAGAAATGCAAATTCAATCTGGATATTTTATAATTGGCTAATGCTTCCTTACTTTTTGGCAGGTGGTGGAAGCTCTTGATCTTGCACGGGCAACTATGGCAAAAGTTCATCAAAATTTGTCTTGGGCGGTTGCATATAATGTTGTCGCAATACCCATTGCAGCTGGAGTGCTACTTCCAAATTTTGATTTTGCAATGACACCATCCCTTTCAGGTAAATAACGTCTATATTGCTTGTTCAGCCCTCTTGGTCCAAAGGATTCAAGATGCCCTGTTGCCTATCACTTATTTTGTGTCTTGGTGACAAATTCTCCGGAGATTATAGCCAATATATATACATTTTATGAAAGATAATTAACCAGTATTACTTCATTTTTTCTGACAGGAGGATTAATGGCTTTGAGCTCAATATTTGTCGTCTCCAACTCACTGCTTCTACAGTTCCACGGTTCTCAAAGGAAAAGAAAAGAGAACCTTACCTATAAACGAGCTCAAACAAAGCTATAATTCTTGCAAATCATGGAGTTGGCATATAAGAATCTGAATGTGTGTAATATTTTGTGCCACTCATTCTTCGACTTTGCTGTTTTGTCAGCTTTATGGGGGAGAAATCTGGGAGGAGCTAGGTGTCATAAAATACTAGTTATAGAGTATTGTCAAAACTAGCTTCTACATTTGAAAACCGAGACAATAGACAATGGTGTGTTAACCCGAAATAAATAAGTAAATAAATAATTATTTGTCGTTATGAGTTCATATCCAGAAAAGAAAAGAAGAAAGAAAACAAAAAACAGGCACACGCACAAAAGTTCAACAACGATAATGGTCCTTGCTGATTTTACATTAAATCGTACCAATTACTTTTACTTTTGTTGCAAACACCTCGAGCAAACTATGTGGTACTTAGAGGACTGTGAGGCCGAAGTTATGGGCCTCAACCTAGTTCTGCCTTGGAAGCTGCCGATGCTCTATATTGGGGATGAAATAGTTTAATAGAAGCTTTTACAATTTGAATGAAAGAAAATTCTCTGCAATATCTGTACGAAAATAAAGATCTTTTAGCTTTTAGGAGATTTGACATAAAACTAAAAAAAATTAATGAGTTATAAAGCCATTGACTACGATTAGTGCTATACTACTAGTACTAGGGCACCTCCACTCTTATGGAGTTTTGTTTTCCGAGTAAATTCGATTGGTTTTACGTTGAAATTGTCATTTAAGCAGAAATTTTAGCTATTAGGAATTCCATGATGACTACCCTTTGTATTTTAGTTTATGCGAACCTTCTTAGAGTCAAACTGATTAATTTTTGGTGTGAAGTTGGCCGTAAAATTTTCATAATTTTTAGATTCATATTTTTAGTATCTATATAAAAAGTAAGTCACAATAGTTAACAACTTAATATAATTAAAAAAATTTTAATGACATAAATAAAAAAATCTTGTTTGACTCACCAAATAGTAATAGGTTCACATTACACTATCGAACCATATAAAGATGACTCGGTATTTTGGTTTACCAAAAGGCTTGGTTTCTAGGGTGAAATTCAAAAATAGCCAGATTTACAATTGGTCGTTCAAAAATAGCCCAGTTTCAAAAGTAATCGATATTTAGCCACTTTTTATGTAAAGATAAATTTGAGCGAAAACACTGTTCAAAACCCGGAAAATATGCCAGCACATTATGCTGGAGTTCCAGCATAAGTATACTTGAACTCCAGCATATTATACTGGAGTTCCAAGATAAGTATGCTGGAACTCCAGCATAATATGATGGAGTTCCAGCATAAGTACACTAGAACTCCAGCATAATATACTGGAGTTCCAGCAAGTATACCGGTCCAGCATAATATACTGGAGTTTGGAGCACTGGTGCTCCAGTCCCAGTATATTATACTGGGGCTAGCAAAGTATACCGGTCCAGCATAATATGCTGGAGTATGCTGGAGTTCATACACAGGTGCACCGAACTCCAGTATATTATGCTGAACCGGTCTATGCTGCAGCAAAACAGTGGTATTTTTCATTTATTTGGTAAACGCTGGCTATTTTTGAATGACGAGTCCGAAAACTGGCTATACCGTGCTATTTTAACTGGTTTTTATGGTTATTTGAACTAAAGGAAAAAAGTTAAGCAAGCAAATAAGACATTTAAAAAGCCCAAATGAAAATTATATACAAAGTTAAGGACAGATTGGTTATGTCTCTCTGTTTAGCTAGTTTTACGGAAATTGAAATAAATAACTTATTCTAATTTTTTATTTTATTAATTCTCTTCGGTGTCTTCTTTTTCTTTTTTTCAATTTTAGATGTGAATGTATTCAAGCGAAAGCAGCACTCTCTGGATTCGAGTTGCAGAACTTGGCCCTGTATTATGTAATTGTAAATTACAATATTATCAGAGATCGTCTCCTCATCAAATAAAAACATTTTTACAAAACTTAGAAGGAAAAAAAAGAAAAGAAAAGAGCGCCGACTAATTGTTCTTTGGACAAAATTGAGGTTGTTTACGTAAAAAGACAATAACGCTCTGATAACTCTACAATACGACAATCCAATTGCTGAATCTATTTTTTTTAAAAAAACGTTTATTTTTCTGATTAATTAGCTAAAAACATATTTAAGTGATCAGTAACAGCACTTACCTTTTCTTTTTAAAAAAATTGCAAAATTCTATTACATTGGAGGAAGGGGGCAGTCCGACTTCAATTCACATCTATTTTATCACCGATATCACTAGACTTTAAATTTTTGTAGACTTACTGTTTCTCTGTAAATATGAAACTTTAGAGAGTTACATAGTTTTGCTTCCCTGAAAAACAGGGGGAAAACATTTCTTATTAATCACAATATTTTCAGTTTTCAGGGAGGAAATTGACAAAAATAGATTTTGGTGGAGAACAGAGCCTGCAACTTTCTTTTTGGGGTGGGAAATCTAATACTAGTATTTCCGATTAAAGAAAAGCAAGTTGGGTCCCGGGGAAGAGCAACAAAACCTTAAATAAAGTCATTGAATAGGCACGTGATATGGAACAATTGTTGTTGGGTGAATTTTCATGCAACAACGCTTTGCATGTGATATTGGGACCCACACAATTCTCTTACGTCATACAAGCATTTGATTTGTTGTCCATGACTTTATTTTATAGTTAGGTGCATAAAACATTTCGTATTTGTTTGAATTTAAAAAGGTGAAATACATGAATGACTTCTTCAAGTTGTCCATAACGGTCATTTGAACACCTCAACAGATCCTTTTACCATTTTAACACTTCAAGTAGCTATTAAATGTATCAAGTAAATACCCGGCCTAGTCAGCCCATCTCGCGTGTGACACACAGTCCGAAACGCGTGTTGCATACCAAATTATGTTTTTTTTTTTTTGTTTTTTGAATTAATTTGAAGTGGGCCCCAAAACTCCAACATCTTCTTCCAACCTTTACAGAATCAGTTGGCCATTATCGCCGCCTTCGCCACCACCGTGACTGTCAAACCCCCATTAGCAAACAAAAATTTTCATCAGATTAAGTCAATCATTAACCAAAAAATTGTTAAACTCATAAATCATGAATGAAATCTCAGTAGAATTACTTCATCCATCCATTTTAGAAAGATGTGAAACCCGGTTGCTTGAATCAAAAAATCAACTACGATTTCTCCGCCATTTTTGTAACCAAAACCGTCAAAGCTATGCAAACAACCAACACGAAATTCAAAATTCCCCATAACCTCTTCACCCCACCTATCTTCTTCCCCAAAAACTCCACACTCAGCGACATAAACCCTAACACCACTGAGTTCGACAAAAGCCCCAAAGCTCCGGCGTGCACTCCTAAATCGTACAATCTACCGTCACCAACTTTTCCACCGTACACTTCCTTAGCCATCCAATCGGTATCGTACAAGAAAAATGGAAACCACGCAATCCAGTTCAAACATGTGACAAGCAACAATATCCACATAGGTCATGGTAAATCCTTTAAAGCACCGAAAATTTCACCGAAGAATGGGGGGGGGGGGAGGGGGGGGGGAAGAAGAAGATGAATGGAGGGGCAGTCTCACGTTAGGTTAATAGGAAATTTTTTCTTTTTTCTTTTTTGCTTTAAATGTGTTTATTTTTTGTTAATTACATTTATCAGATTTTTATGTACAATTTATATGTGTCATTTTCTTATTGGTTAATTTGACAAGTCATAGGCGAGTGTAACTCACCCATATGGTCTGTTGGACTCGGGTGTTCATGAGGCTTATTTTTTACGGACTATAAGTGTTAAAATGGTAAAGGGGTCAGTTGAGGTGTCTGGCTGACCGTTGAGGACAAGTTGAAGGGGCCGTTTATGTATTTCGCCATTTAAAAATGATCGTATCTCTAAGTGTGTGATGCAGACAGTTTATCCTAATGCAAGATTAAAGACTAATTTTAATATTTGCACTCACGACGTTGTTCCAAGGTTCCTTTATGACTTCTTCTGTTCATACCGAAAAAACTTGATATGTTGGATTATATATCACAGCGGAAGCAATCATAGTATCATATTCACGTGTGAATCAAACAATTAGCACATACGAAGATTATTCGAGTTACCTCTTGAAGCGTGAACAAAGCAAATCAATATCCGTCTCCAGTTCCAGAGTTGCGAGACCTCAACAAACTTCCACAGTCTTCTACCGTGTTACCCAAATAATATCCGGAAAGAGAGAACTTCGAGTGGGAGAAATTCAAGGAAGAAAAACGTGTGGTTTTTCAATGTAAAAAACGGCCAGCCATATATGTATATACCATGTATATATAGCTACGTTTTTTTTTAGGTTAAAACCCTTTTTCAAAACCTGTTAGGTTTTCTTCTTCCACTAAGGAAAGGTTTTCTTTATTTCCTACTATTTAGGCACAATAGGGACCATACAATTTAATTAACAAGGCTTCCTATTATGGAATTAATTTTGAAATTTGAAATTAATTACTTCCATAATAAATTACCAGTTATTTCACTAAAAATTCGTAATTGCACTCCTTAGTTCAATTTCAAAATTCTTCCATAAAACCTTATTTAACTCCCCATGTTAAGATTTAGATACTAACCAATCAAATTAAATTACTGACAATTTAGCTAGCGTTTGGACATAGATTTAGTTGAAACTTGAAAAAATAATTTTTGAAGTAGTTTTGAAAAATAATTTTTTGAAGTTGAAATTATATTTGGACATGCATTTTATTTGAAAAAAATTTGAAGTTTTGTGAGTGGGAGAATAAGTTTCACCCAAAATCTACCCTCAACTAGATTCTGGGAACTTGAAAAATAATTTCAGAAATTTTTCAAAAAAAGATCATTAATCTATGAACAAACAATGTTTTCAAAAAAGATTTGAGAAAACGTTGCCAAAATGTATCGCCAAACGGGGCCTTAATTTATTGATTACTTCCCTTAGACTTTACTTAACTTATTTCATGTGTCAGATACAAAATTCACCGGCCGGGTTTACACATGAAAACTTATAAGCTTTCATAAAGGAGTATCATCAATCTCAAAAACCGAGACATGAATTCTATAAACTAATTATTACTTCGCCAATATATATCATTATTGTCCAATTATCAGGCTTATTGACCCACGAAAGAATCTCGCCTTTTAATAAATCAAAACAATAAATGATATACACAACTAATAATAATTATATCAAGATTAAGAGTATAAGTACATTGAATGGACTAGAGAAATTATTTTATGAAGTCAGTATAAAATACCTATCTCTA